CCCCCTTTTTTTTTTTTTTTTTTTTACATTTTATCTTTTCTAATGTTCTGATTTAAGTTGCACTACGGGAGCTGCAAAATATTTTGTTGTTCATTGTCTGTGGACTGCATTGTTCTTTTCAGTGCAACAATGACAAAGTTTTATCTATCTATCTATCTATCTATCTGTCTGTCTGTCTGTCTGTCTGTCTGTCTGTCTGTCTGTCTATAATGTTCTCATTACTTCTTTATCAACGATTATAATGAAGTAAAACTAAAATGAAACTGTTCTCCTATAATTTACTTTTCTATAATTTTTTTACAACAGTTGAACAGAAAATATTTGACTAAAATCATACTCTTTAACGTGAACACATGAGCAGATAAACATTTTCTTTTCTTCCCCCTAAACCTTTAGTTCATGGGACAAAGTGACTATAATATTATTTCAACATTAAAACAACGTAAAAATTTTTAAAATATATAATCACAACAAGGACATGGTTATTTTGACACTTATTAATGTCTGCAAGTATCCTTCAGAATCTTTTCTAATTGCTGTTTTGAACTCATGAAAGGGTCTTGAAAGAGAGCACTGGTGATTTTTGTTGTATTGTGTGTTTATGATCCAGATATCCGTGAGGTGTTTGCACACGTCCTGTCAGATCTAGGGATTTTCTACACTCGTGTTCCAGTGGAACCAGGTTTACAGAACTGCCCGTGGCTGCCAGAGCACCTCCAAACTTTCTACACGCAGGTGGAAAAAGACGCTTTGGACTCTGTCCCTGTCTTCCGACGCCATGGCATCAGGTACAGTATGTTGTCACATGGGTCTGGTTTATGTGTATTATTTTTGTGTCCTGAGGCCTCGTGTGTCAACGGCGCATACTCACAGAAAATGTTGCAGCGGCATGTTTCACACAAAACTTGAGATGTATGAAAATGAAGGTTAAGAGTTGTTTGTTTACTTAAAGTGGATGTCACCAGTGTCTCCTGCAAAGCAGGTGCTAAACATAGCATTCCTCATCAATGAGCAGCAAAGCTAAAAGCTGTCGTGATGCCCCCTCAGCTTGCACAAAATGAGTCATCTTTAAGTTTAGGTTTCTACAACTCCAAAATAGACTTATCTCAAAAGGCAGTCAAATATGTATTTAGTGGTATCATGCCCAAATGAAGACAATAAAATCAATACAAACGTCATTACTATGCCATAGTGTTTTATTTTTTGTACATAAATTTTGCCCTTCTGTACTTGAGAGAAGCAATCATTGGCTCTGGTTAAAGTCAGGATGTTTGAACCAGATTCTTCTCTGTAAAGCATGGTCAGTGCAGTGAGATGTGATGTTGTGTACCTGAGGAAAGTTGGTTTCATCACAATACATTACTAATGAAGTAGCATTCAGTTTGTGTRCTGTACAGAGTATTTACACTTGTTTAAACACCAGGTAAGMTGCCCCTATTCTTCAGTCAGGGAGSTTCCAGCCAGATGGTGAAAGTCAAAAACAAGCTCATATTTGTTCTTGATTAATTAAATTAAGCTGCAGAACGCTGAGAGCTTAAARGTTGACCAAAATGGGTGTGTGTTGCCTTGAAATGTGTGTTTATTAGAAAGGAAAGCTCTGCACATAGATGTTGRGGGAAACAGGATTGCATACATGTCAGGTTGTACAGATTGTCWKTAATTTACACAGATTTTCCYTCATTTTGCAGGCATACAGATTTATAGAGTATGGTGGAAAAAGCTTTTCCATGTCTGTTAAACCAAATGTAAAAATACATGATCAAAACATTTCTTCACTACAATGGTTTCTGAGTAATTTTATTGTAATAAAATGAGAGTCAACATGCATACAGCAATACAAGCTGAGTCTGGGGACACAGCCCCAGTGAAGCATCTTCATACCTTTTGTAGAAACCAGTCCAAAACTGGTTATTTCTGACAAGCAAGGAGTGGATCTTTATCTGAGCAGCAAAAAAATCCTAGTTTCAGTTAAAAACTTGTTCTGCGGTCCTTCAACAGAGAAAAACACCTYAAGATGTGGTTCTACTTCCTATTTCACAGTCACTTACACATYCACATTCCAACAGTAACAAAACACATAGATCTGCAATCTGTTTGTGCAGAAACCACAGCAGTGTGTGACATTAAAGCTTGAAGAACAAGAAAACACACATTAAAGGTGCCCTGCTAGAAACTCGCAACATGAGTTAAAACAACTCAGAATTACGTGACAATACATATGCAGTATATTTTATAAGTGAAACATAACACTACCAAAGTATAAACACACGGGCAATCATTTTATTTTTCTTCACAAGAGCAATCTCACTGACTTTTTCAAGTTTGACAGATTTATTTCCAAAACCCAGTTTGAAATATATGAAACATGTCAAGAGCCTGTAGGACGTTAAACAATAAATAGAAATAAGTTCTCCTGTCCTCATTTCCTCCTGCTTTTRCTGCACAAAGCAGGTGCTGTCATCTCCACAGCTGACAGTCTGCCTGCACCCCTCACCCCAGCCCCCCATGTGGGATTAATGCAGATTTTTTGCGAAAATTCTGAATTTGTGAGGCTCATTTTACAGGTAAATGTCCGAAGGGGTTAATATGTGGCATTACCAGGAAGGAACATGGAGAGTTCACTAAAAGTTGAAGTGAACATAGAGTGTTGTAGTGATGGTCTGAGAGCATCTGCACATACTCTGGCAAACACTCGTTATATGATGTACTAAAAGACTATTAAAAACAGACAGACCCTGAACCGACGCGGGCCTACCCGGTCTAGGTGGGCCGGGTCCTCGGTAGACCGCGAACACCGGAAAAAGGTGTCTGTGAATTTGGACGGTCTAGCCTCCCGTCCTTACCCATCGAAATTAGAAAAATATCAATATATTATCATTATTAATATCACAAAACAGTAAGATTAGCTTAAAGGTAATATTTGAGGAACTAATGAACCCACCGTAGGTGCATGTTTATTTCATCATACCAGCTCGTTTTATTTCTGACAAAAATAATATTAAAAAAACATGTTTGTAAATGATAAAAGCATTAACAACCACAGATTTATAGTAACTAAGTACATTTACTTCATTACAGTACTTAAGTAGTTTTTTTGAGGATTTGTAATTTTACTAATTGATTTTTAAACAGCTACTTTTACTTTTATTTTGTTACATTTTAAAGCTAAAACTGATACTTTTACTTCTTTTACTTTAAAATGTAACACCTAGTT